AAGTAGAGGTAGAGATGTACCTGTAATTCGGTCCAGAGTGTAACGGTCATGCTGCACTCTATATCTCTGTGGGTCCCAGTCGTCTGACTGTTGCTCAACAGCTTTCAGCAGTTTTTTAATGTTAAACTCCTCACATGCATCCTTAAATTAAAAACACATATGTGTCATTTGTCATAGTAGTAGCAGATTGATTTATTTGATTTACTGAATCATAATTTCCAAGCACCGAGGGAAATCTCACCAACCTTAAAAGCAGTGCAAACCCAGGCTCTCTGATAAGAGCCTCGTCCTGTCCATTACGTTCATCTCCCTCTCCTGTGACAGTCAGACGCTTGGCCCCCAGCTCAGCAAGTTTGTCATCCACAGCATGGGCAAAGGCACAGAATTGTGGGTACACACGTGAGCCAAGGCCAAACACACATACCTGTAGTGAGAAGAGCAAGTCAGGGCTTCTGCACTACAACAGCATATACAGTTGAAGAGTGAAAATCTTTGCAGTTCTAGGCTACACACCTGACAGTGTTTTTCAGGGTTTTCAAGTTGAAAAGCTGCTTCTTGAAGCTCTGAGGAAAAGGAAATATTAATGTAATAGTAATGTATCATGATATGATACGTTACATTATGTCATAAAATGATAACATGAACATATTAATGTGTCGATAAAGTGTGTCGAATTTGCACGGAACAAAAATCAATTTTGAATTCCTCTGGAAATTATTATTTTTATACACTACTGTTCAAGTGTTTGGGGTCAGTTTTTATAATGTAACAAAACAAATTATATTTCAAATCAATGTTTTTCTTTTGAACTTCATGTTCATTAAAGAATACTGAAAAGAAGTATCATGGTTTCTACAGAAATATTATGAACTGTTTTCAGCACAGCAATTCTAATATCAGCATATTAGAATTATTTCTGAAGGATCTTCAGAAGGATCTGATTTTATATATTTACATATTACATATAATTATTTGCAATATTATTCCCATACCACTCCTGGGCTTTTTCCATTGCCAAAAGTACAAGTGACCACCATCAGAAGGCTTTCTGTCTCAAGCTCACTGAAATCATAGTCCTCCATGCATACCAGCTATATTAGAAAACAAGAATAAATGTTGTTGCTCGTATACTGATCTGGTATTATTACAATATTAGAAAAGCATTTTTTAAAGACAGCATTTCTTACCCTGGATTCAAAGGCACGTTTGAGCATAGTGTTCAGTTTTTTGGCAAAGGTCAGTGACTTCCCTATTTCTGTGGCACAGAGAACAGTGCAGTGCACCCTCTTGGCCATGACTGCTTTGATGAGCGTTTGAGATAAAAACACCACTCTAAAAAGAAAGAACACAAGTATTTTAATGTAAATGGCATTGGTAGTTGGCATGAATGTAATGTAGTGTTGCTTTGTTTGGTGAAGATGCTGGTCTGTACCTTATGAGTCCTTTGAAACTGACCTTACATCTCCGAAGTCCTTTCTTCTCATCTCTCCACTTGTGTGTTAACCATGCATCAGCCTTCAAAAACAGCATACATTTACACCACATTTACACTGCTGAATAGAAGAAGGGAGAAAGGATGTAGTTGAGCATCTCCTGATGGTACACGGAAGTGAGGGATCCAGACATGGGTGGGATCAACCACACCCAATCAGCTGGACAGCCTCCACGCAGACGGACTTCTGTCTCCAAGTGCTGCATGAAGGACTCGCTTGCTGAATGGTGGTCCGTGATGGTGACCTTATTTTTCTGCAGAGCAATGTAACAACATCAAGACCAATAAATATTTGAATGGCTTTATCAACTTTCCAAAATCTATTTTCATGAAAATGATTTCAGAAGCAATAACAGTGAGGCTGCAGCTTCTTGAATCAATAAGCATATCAATATTATGCATATAACAGGACAAAAATGGAAGGACAGTTTACCTGGTAGCTATGAATCACTGCAACACCGATAGCCACAAGTGTCTGGTCTTTCCACAGTCAAGACAGCTTGCGTGTCTCTAAGCCCATTTGCTGGCCAACATGCTACAAGTAATAAAGCAATAAAAGCAAAACATCAGTATCAAAATTATCAGGATGTGCTAAGCTATTGTCATGAGACAGTGAAGCCGAACTACCTCCAAAATGAATGAAAATAACTATAAAATTCATGTTACCACAAAAATATGTAGAAAACAAATTTATCCCCCGTTCCCTGCAATGACCCAAAAGACTTACTCTGGGTGCTCTATTGGGACCTCCAGGATCAGTTCTGGAGGAATATCAAAAACTTTGGGGTCCTCTCCGTTCGCCTGCAGGACCAGTGGAAGCACATCAAAGCAACCATACTTTGGTTTCCATCCCAGCTGAATACACACCTATTTCCAGCGGAAATTTTAAGACATTGTATAAAACATTGTAAAACAGACATTGTATACATTTTTTAAGACATTGTATAAAACAGTGGACATATATTTGCAAAGGCGGACAAAGTACTCAACTCCATTACTTGAGTGAAAGTACAGATACTGCTGGTCAAATATTACTCTATTACAAGTAAAAGTTGTAAAGACAGATTTTTACTTAAGTAAAAGTACAGAAGTACTTGCTTTTAAAAGTACTTAAGTACCAAAAGTAAATTTCCTTTTTTATGTCAATGCACTGTTTTATTGTTGTACGTAATACTTGCAATACTTCTGAAGCAACTTACAATACATTACACCTGCTGAATACACTGACTAGCTTGTAGTATATTTGGAATAAAGAGCTTTTAGAATGTTAAAAACCTATGGGGAAAAAACTAAACAAAAATAATTATTGAACACCCCTACCCACCCCCACAAAAGCAGGATGGTAGTGATCTCACACAGCTCTGACAGTGGGTGCACACATCTATGTGTAGCCATTCATCCACATTTGAACAGAGTGGACAATGAAATTGCTGTAAATACAGACTGATAAGGAAGAAACTAAATCAAACCTGCTTTAAAACCCAGCAACACAACTGTAGATGTAAAACTTTACAACAGCAACACTGCTTTAACAAAAAAGCAAAACAATCGCTCTCGCTGTACTTTGATGTCACACACAGAAC